ATTCGTACAAAACGTATTTTCATGACCTCCGCTGGGCTGGCCTGAGACAGGGCTGGATCTCATTGGCTTGCAATCAGCAGAGAGGATCCGCGTCCAGGACTCGGGCCTGGCATCCATTCTGGCTAGTCGGCCCATTAATCATGTTACTTCCCCGCTCCGACCTAGTCTCCTCATCTTTGAAAAATGAGATTGTCCTTAGTTCTGAAGATCAGTTGAGGTCCATCATCCCAAGCAGGCCCTCCAGTCCTGAGAGTTTCAGTCCCTTCCTCTCCTCTCCTGACTTTTGTTGGGCTAGGACTAGTTTATTCTGGATACAGTGAGAGGGTGGCAGGTGGGGCTTGACCCCAGGCTACCAGGTGGGAGACAGACAGGGTGACTGAGGCTCGGGGGGCACAGCCACACACCCGTTACTGGTAACCACCCAGAATCAAGCAGCCATTTCCTGGGCACTTATTAATGCGAGGCCCCAGGCCAGGAGCTCTACCCATTTTCTCTCACTGAACTGGCAACACCTCCTTTCTCAGAACTCTTTGGACCAAACATCACTGTTTCTACTTGACAGAGGGAAACAGGGTTCAAATGAGAAGTCACTAGGATACCCACCCCCCAAACGGTTCACGCAGTTCCCTTAAAGGAGCGAGGCTGGAGGCACGGAGGAGTGAGTGGACACTTGTATCTTTTCTGTTTTAGCCTTCTACACACACACATGTATATATTTTGCAGGCAGCATGTAATCTAAGACATTTTTTAAGTGAAAAAAATTGGTTTGTGTGCTAGGAATAAAGCAGGGCCCAGAAGAGGCACAGAGAAGCCAGACAGCCCCAGGTTCGGTCCCCATGCCTGCTGCAAGACCCATCCCCCCATCTCCACAACCGCCCCAGAGTCAGGGTGGGGCCAGGTGCCACCTGAAATTGGTGGCACAGGCCTCACCTGAAGAATAACAATGGCAATACTAGGAGCTTGGGATGGCGAGTGACTCTCCCTCTGTCCTCAGACTGCTCTTTAACATTGTTGTGTCCAGGAGGTTCTAGGAATTTTAAAAACTAAATGAAATACCATTAAAGTCCTCTTTGGCTAGGCTGTGGCCCTGCCTCCACAAGCTCAATGCGCCTGTTACAGGGACCCTGCCCAGCCATCCACCCTGCCCCCCTCATCCTGTCCTAATCTGGGCCTGGCATCAGGGGGGTGGTGTGTTCAAGACATCATGGTGCTTGGCCCAGGCCTCAGAGACTTCCCCTTCTCTGTAAGAGTCCCTGAAATGTAGGAGGGGCCCAAGGGACCTCTGGGTAAGAGTCCCTGAACCCAAGGGCTTGGAATGTAGGCGCCTGGCCAGGGGCCCACGCCAAGGAGAGTGGGTGGTGGTCAGGCCCCCTGAGCTTCTTGGGTTTCTTTTGGCTTTGCTACCCAAACAAAAGAACAGTCTTGGGAAGAAAAAAAAAATGCTAAAAATATAATAAGGTAAATAAACAAAACCAAGTTTCTAGGTCTAGCAAATTGTACCCCAAGAGAACCAGAGTGAGAGGTGTGACTGACACCGCAGAGTGGCCCAGAAACCAGGGAGGAAGAAAGCACCACGGTCCCTGATCTCTAGAAAGTGGGCACCCGGCAATCCCAGACTCCTTAGCCCAACACTGACTGCCCAGCCAGCCCTGCAGAGGTTATTCAGTGTGATCTGAGCGGGCTCAGCAGAGGACGTGGTGACCAGAGATGCCGGCCAGGGTCATGGGAATTGAACCCAGTCTCCCTTGCCTCTCTCCTCTAATAGCAGGGCGACTGTGCCCACTCCAGACACACCTACCTGCGATCTTTGGGGCTAAATGGGAAAGTGTGGACTCAGCATGTAATAATACCTTAATAACACGGCTGACCACCACAGCACTGGGCAGGCGCCAGACGCTGTTCCAAGCACTTTGCAGGCATCGACTCCAGCCTCAAGGCAAACCCTGAAGCACAGGCACTTAGCTGCTGGGTGGTGGCGCCGGATTTGAACGCAGCGTCTGGCTCCAGAACCCACAGACGCACAGCTGGTTTTAAACTGGACTGGAAACCCCTGATCGATTAACAGAGGAGGCATCAGGTGGGGAGAAGCCCTGATCTTACCAGGACTGCCAGTCAAGATGTCCTGCCCTCCGCTCACTGGGCCATTGGTAAGCTCACCAAGGACCCTGAATCGCCTGGACTTCACCCTGGATTCTCAGCCCCTGCTTCCTACCCTTTCCTGGCATGGCAGGGCTGTAGTCCTTCCCATCTTTGATCCCCACAGCTCCTTCCCACATGGTCCCCTTTGGCCATCGAAGGTTTCTGTTGGCCACCAGAGAGCCCTGGGTGAGGTAGGAGCTCATCACTCTCCTGCCCCCACCCATGGTTAGTCCGTGATCCTGATGACTATGAATGGGTGCAAAAAAGTGAGAATCTCTGGCAGGCCTTACCATCGTTTTACAATTTGGATTTAGAATGCAGAAGGCCTGCTCATAAAATTTGCAGCTGCCACAGTGCAGAATTAATGCTTTGTGCAATAGAAGCGGGCCTGACAGCGCTTTCAAGACTAGACTGCTGGATGGGAGCCAAGAAGATGACATTTAAAAAGCACAATGTAAGGTCTTGCCCGTGTTTCCGAAGAATTCATTGTGCAAGTACCAGATAGCGGGGAGAGTTTGCCAGATAGTAGTCCATGGGAAAAAGCTCTCACTGCAAATTCAGTGAGTCACCAGAATAATGTCGCTGGTGAAAACACCAATGCCTCTAGTCATGCGGGTGGCAATACTAGAGACTGAGTGTCTGGAAAACTGGAAATGACAGCACCTCTCAGCTTGGCCCTTGTCAGTCCATACAGAGAGCATGTTTCCAGTTTGGCCTCTACACTTTAGGAGGGACAATGACAATTACAGTGCACTCCCATATGGATGGCCCGGGTTGTGGCGAAACCCCTGGGACTTGAAGGTGTTGATCACCCTTGGGGAGCTCGGATCCCTGTGTGCAAATAACTGCAGGGGAGTCTCAGAGAAGAATCCCAAAAGCATAATATTAGGGGACCAGCTCTGGAAATTAGAGATGTTTTAGTCAAAGCCCTTTGGGTGTCAAGAAACCAAAACGGTACTGGACATTGCTTAGCAAAAAAAAGAGAAATTTAAGGAAAGAAGTGTGTTTTAGTCAGTGTAATACTTCTGCTGTGTAAGTGTAATCCTTCTACCATCACTGTGACACACTGGTGTCCCACCCCCTGCCATGGACCACCGCCTGCAGGTGCAGCCCCTGCTGAGCAGGAAGCCAGACAGCCCCTGAGCACCAGGCCCTCTCTGCATCATGCAGTGTACCTGGGTCATGGGCTCCTTGGGGAAGCCTGGCAAAGGGCATTTGTGCCTGGGCTTGAAGCTAAAGGGACTAAGGGGGATGTCACAGCTCCTGCCTTTGAGCACTTACTGTACATCAGGTGACTTTGACAGGTACCATCTCACTGACTCCTCACAAGGCAGCCACTGTGAGCACCCTAATTTTACAGATGAGGAAACTGAGACATTGAGTGATCAGCTGGCTTGCCCCAGGTTGCAGAGCTGGTCATTGGTAGAACCCAGGTTTAACCCAGACCTGTGGCTCCAATGTCCCATCTCTGGGGCAGGGGCTCTGACTTAGTCCGGGGGTGGGCAAGGGAAGGCTGTAGGGGACAGGGAGTGCTATTTGAGCTAGTTCTGAAGGTAAGTGCAGGCCAAGAGGGTGGGAAACCCCATGTGCACAGGCCCAGGATGGAAGAATGGAAGAAAGGGTCCCTGTGGCTGAGTTTAGGGAGCAAGGTAGGAGCAGAGACAGTGGCAGGATGAGGCAGGAGAGATGGGCCTCATGCTCCAGCCCCTGAGACCCCTGGAATTCATGGTGGGTTGTTTCGACCACAGGCTCTTGGGTTGAGCAGAAAGGTTTTAGCTCCAGCTCCATCCTTAGTGGCCGACAGGTCGCTGGGCCTGGTGGATGAGGTCTGCCTATGGGCTGGGCCCTCCAAGTAGAATAGGAACAACCAGGTGGCTGGAGAAATCCAGATGGGGCCTGGGGCCTGGGGAGTCCGCTATGGGGGCACTTGTCTGGGACCCACGTCTGGGGGTGAGGGGTGGCCTTAAACTCAGATGGGTCTCTGAGGAGTCAATTCAGTGACCTGGGTCCTCTGGGAGTTAGAATGGGGGTGGGGCTGCCTCAAAGCCACCATTGTCACCCTCTCTCCCGCCTGACTGTCTGGGACCTAAAATAGATCAGGAGCTCAGGGGATTTCGTGAGAAGGGTTTCTGGCAAAGAAATCTGGGAGGAGGGGTGTGAGTCACCACTGGGAACCCTCAAGTTTGAAGCTCCCAAAGCCCAGCTGCCCCACCCCCATCCCCAGGGAGTCTGGAATCCACTGGACTACTGTAGGGAGGGCAACGGGGTCTTCGCCCCAGCTAGGCCACAGGGGTGCTGGATGACTGGGCTAAAGTGACCCCCTCAGGACCTCAGTTTCCCAGATGTACCAGGAGTCAGGGACCTGGGCTGTAAGGGTCCTGGAATTCATGGCAGGGGGTCCCAGTATAGGCCCCCAGAGTCAGACAGAGATGGGATGAAGTCCCAGTTCTTTTCCTGTTGGCTGAGTGACCTTGGACATATCCCCCCTCATCTTGGGGCCTTAGTTTCCTGATCTGTAAAATGGACATTGAAACCAAGTCCTGTTCTTTCCCAGTTTCAGCTTGAACTATCCAACAAGCATCATGACAGCTCCTGGGGCCTCTCCCAGGGCCTCCACTTCCTCAGGTGGCACACTTCGTGCTCTGGAATGTTAACCACAGTGACCCAGCCTTTTAGTGCCCTGTGCTTTGCAAATACTCCCTCTGGCTTCCCGCATCCTGGAGGGCAAAGATGGGTGTCATCCCCAGCCCTCTCCGTGGAAGCTCTTCAGCCTCAGTACTGGCCAGTCCTAGAGGGAAGGGTCTTGGTTCCAGGGCACCTACTAGGTGCCAGACTCTAAGCTGGAGCCATGGGGGGCAGGGATGATCCTCTCCATTGCGCAGACGGGGAAGCGGGCTCCTCTCGAAGAATTCCTCGGCACCGTGCACGGTTCAGCCGCGGAGAGGCAGGCGCGGTGCGTGGGGCAGGCGCGCCCTCTCGCGGCCGCGGTGCGCGCTGTCCTG